TCCTGCCCCAATTGTCCATGCAAGTCAATAGCAGGTACCGTAAATACATGGCACTGCACAAAGGAACTACTAGGAACTCAAGCCATGAAACTCTACCAAGCTCTTGAAAGATTTTAAGTCTCACAAAGGAAAAGGACTTACAAATCATCTTTAGAAGAGATCAGGATAGAAGATGCACATTTTCATTTATGTTGTAAATCTCTATATAAACACCAGTTTCCAACACATTTTGAACCGTAGTCTTAGAAATCTAAAAATTTTATTCTAGATTGATATATAGCAAATGCAAATTTGGCAACAGGTTAACACTTCTTGGTCATCTTTCGTGGATGCCTTAGATGTACTTCACAAACCCTCACGGGTCAAAACTTCTTGCACTGTGAAAGAAATGCACGAAAGCACAGGCTCAGAAGAGACCATTTAGGTCATAAAAAGAGAGAACGAGAGATCCAAAACCAACTCTCTGAATTAGGCAATTCCTGACCTAAGTGAGAAACTTTGCATATGTTATTAAAACACTCCCACATAGAAAATTACATAAATTTTACCATGTTTCAACAACTACAGAAAGTTATAACCAGCAATTTATTTCTGCAATATGAAAATTCAAGAAGTTGCCAGTACTGAAATGTAGTTATGTTTCTTATGTGCCTGAACTTCTGTCTCCATCTGTGTGACAAAACTACACAGCAAGAGGGTCTGACCTGCCGAAGAGGGGGGGGCGCATTTTTTTTTGGTTTTTGTTTGGTTTTGTTTTGGTTTGGGTTTTTTTGTGGGGTTTTTTTTGTTGTTGTTTAATCTTAAGGATCCTGCCAAAGGTGGGGTTTGGGTTTTTTTGTTTTTCTTATCTTGAGGGTCCTAGTGGACAAGAAGCTGACCATGAGCCAGCAGTATGCCCTCGTGTCAAAGGCGACCAACAGCCAGCGGGGCTGCATTAAGCAGAGCTCTGCCAGCAGGTCGAGGGAGGTGATCTGTCCCCTCTGCTTAGCATGGGTGAGACAAACCTGGAGTACTGGGTCCAGTGGTGGGCTCCCCAGTACAAGACAGACACGTGGGAGAGTCCAGTAGCGGGCCTTGAAGATGATTAAGGGTCTGGAGCATCTTCCCTATGAGGAGAGGCTGAGAGCTGGGGCCATTCAGCCTTGAGAAGAGAAGGTTCAGGGGGATCACATCCACATGCATAAGTAACTGATGCGGGATGCAAAGATGATGGAGCCAACCCTGCTCGGCAGTGCCCAGTAACAGGACAAGGGGCAATGGGCACAAACAGAAAATCCTGTTTAAACATCAGATAAAACTTCACTACCATGAGAGTGGTCGAATAGAGAGACTGTGGAGTCTCTGTCCTTGGAGATGTTTGAGACCCAACCAGGCGCGTCCCTGAGCAACCCCCCGCAGGTCACCCTGCTCTGGAGGGTCCTCCAGCCTCAGCCATCTGTCAGTCCGGGAAACTCTGTTCTAAGGACCACAGGCTTATGTTGATTTTGTGGAGGAGGGCTGTTTCCAAATGATCAGCCATCTTTTCTGTGAATGCAAACTAAAATAGACACTTGGCTAATTATTAGCGTCCTAATACATGACACAGTTCTGCTATTGGATGGGAGCTGGCTAAAGGGCTAAACTCCAAATATACCCCATCGGGATGACAGCCTAAAGCTGCATCCCTGTACTACAATGTGTGTCTTTGCATAGCTCTCTGCATACAGAAAAAGGGTCTGGGGCATCAACAGGGGATAGAACTGGTAAAACCTTAAGAAAATACGTGCATATGAATGTTCCAATACACTAAGCATTTAGATAATTGTCCCTAAAAGGTGAGATTTTGTCTTTTGGTTCTGATGTTTCCAATTGGGTAGGTCTCCACAATAAACGGTCCAAATGATCTATTTTGGCTATAGAGCAAGGAGAATTTTACTTCAGTATGTTAAAGCATTTTACTGCCATGAGGTTAAGGGGAGGGAACTCCTCTGCACACAGCAGAAATTTGTCACAGAAAAGCAAGCCCCAAATCCACAATTTCAGTATTTAAAAACTCACCAATACATAACAATAAGAAGCCAGTCAATCTAAAAACACATCTTTCTTTAATGTAACCCTCATGGGGAAGTACCTAAAATGGTCTACCTGTAAACGTGGGATTAGCGAAGCTTTATAAACTGTGACAAAGGATTTAGAAAACAGCATCATACGCCTCTGCTGTTTCCCCCCTCCATGATGCACAAAAGCATAAAATGCTTAGGGGAGAACAAAGGGGGGCAGGGGGTGGAAAGGGAGGGAAGGAAAGAGGGTGTTCATTATTTTTTAATCTATGCTTGCTCCCTCCCCTACTTAAATAAAAAAAACTATTAAAAAAAATTAAAAAGGCAGAGTTGCTGGTTGCTGATGTCATCAAAGTGCTAACATTAATCACTCACAGCATCACCGGCACACGCACAAGAGCATATAACAGGGATGTTCAGGCAGTACACTGTCCAAGGGGAAGCAAGCGAGACAGGGGGGGAAAGACATCACTTTTTCTCCTGTATGTTCTTTGAAAAGCAAGGCAACAGCATCTTTAGACAAGATGTGCTCTTGCATGAATTTAAGTGGAAGAGACAAAGAAACCATGCCATCAGCAGCATCGGAGAAAAAAAACTGAAAGCACCCAGCAATGAGAATTCGGTCCAGGGAATCTGAGGGGAAGAAAAAGCAAACTGGCAAGCAGAGATCAGGCAGGAAATACCTCATGTGAAAAGGGATACGGAAAACTTAGTGTTTGTATCATTTTCACAGCAGCCTCACCATATGAAAATTCTGCTCTGAAATTTCCATCAGGAAGTGACGGTAAGTACTGACTTCATAATCTATAAAACATCAAATGGGTTTTCCAAACATTTACATGTCAGTAATTATGTGTCTTCTAATAGCTGATGCTTTGTAACAATAGAAATGTATTATTGTTATTTAATTAAAATCAAAACATTCTGCTTACAAAATGCTGTGAGGATGAAACTATTGTTTCTAGACTGTGTTAGGAAATGTTCCATAAAAAATTAATCATAATTTTAAGTAATTGGGATCTACCAGCTAAAGCAAAGACAACTGAGCAAGTGAAAGCTCCGATCTCACTAATGTGCCTGATTTTAATATCTGCAGAGGTTGGGTAGATGCCAAAATGTGCCTATCTAATAAGTTTATTTGATAGAAAACTCAGTTTCTTTATATTGTTGCTATGTCAAAAAGGGTGCACTTACCACATGATTAAAACAGCAGCATCTACCCAAATCAGTCATATCTAAGGTTTTACATTGTAATGAAAATAAACATGCATCTTTTTCTTCCCACTTCCCAATAAGTATAATCAAAAAGCCTCGAGCAACAATTTTCATACATAAACAGTCACAGAATTCTTACTATTAATGTAACTATCAAAATCCCACTAAAATAATATGTATCTTGCCAGCCTCCTATCAAGTATAAAATACGATAAAAGTACTACAAAATAATTTCAGAATATATTATGAGCAAATCTTACAAGCTTTCTTCATCAAAAGAATTTTCAATAGTGAATTGTAGGAGACTTAACATTTTAAACCTGATCATAAAAAAAAATAATAATTTTTATAATGAAGTCATAAACAATGAAATATAGCATTACTGTCATAGGCATTTATCTTCATTAAAAAAAAAAAGAGAAACTTTCACAGTGGAAAAAACTTTCACATGAGTACCACTAGAAACTGACTATTAAACTAAAAGAATCGGATTAAATTACTGAGGTAGACTCTTTCAAAAGTTACCCTCACAACAGTAAAAGCCAAAAAAACCATCCCAAACAAATGAAAATACCCACTGGCTGTTATTATATATACTTTAACAGATGTGTTTAGAAAAGTGCAGAAAATAGATGTTTTCCTTTCACTACTTACAGTGGCAACACAAACTGAGAATCTCAAAATACTGGCAGTTTTTCTAATTTTAATTTTATTTTGAGGAGGAACATAAGCTTAGGGCAGACACTGTGGAATTACATACAATCACTTAGAACAGAAAAGAGTATCAGTAGTTTTTAAAAACCTGCTATTTATCCAAAAGGTATGCTCTTGTGAAAACTGTATTTCACCAACTAAGCTTAGCCTGAGAAAGCTTTCCCAAGAGGCTGACTAGCATTAAGAATAAATATCGTGATACTGATACCACCAACGTACAGTCATCACAGTCGCTGCTCTAGCAGCGGCTACAGATGTGCTAACTCACCAGCAAAAAAATAGGAGAGTATCAGCAAATAAGAGACTAACATAAAATGATATTGGAGACAAAATAATATCTGGTGATGTTTCCACATACTGTGGAAATAAATTTTCAATTTATTGTGACTGGCAAAAATGAAGACTTGTGGGTGGCAGAGGAATTTATCCCTCAATATCCACTCCTACCACTCCTCTTTTGCCACTTAACATAAGAAAATTCATTGCTCAGAAAAGCAACCTTTGAGATTATGTAAAACATGAAGTGAAATAAAATGCAAGATACTCAGGCTAGAGAAAAAAAAAAACAAACACAAAACACTGCTGCATTTCTTTTTCAGTCATCTGAAAAAAAACCCTGTGAAAGGAAGTGGTTCCCCGACTGCAAATTCTGCAAAACACACTGTCCATCTCTCGTGGACATACAGTACAACCGGTCACCAGTACAGGCAGGAGCTCCACTTACATTTCTATAAGCATATGTTTATCCTTTCACTTGAGAAAGAAATACACAGTTTAAAATACCCCAAACTTCATGAACTTTCAAATCCCACTTTTACACTGCAGTACCAAACATAAAAGCAGAGTTTCCTAATAAGCCCCTTTCCTAAATTACAGAGCACTACGATTAAGATCCACACGACATCCCCGGTGCTGCAGCTTCTCAGTTACCTCCCTGGGAAACAAACATCTTCCCTTCCCACAGCGAGATCAGCATCAGGAGAGAAAAAAAAAAAAAAAACACAAAAAACAAAACACCTGAGTAACATCCCAATGGGAATAACCGTCCAAAACATCACAGGAAACACGGCAAAGATAATTTGGCCCAAAATGGCCAGTTGTGCCGACAGCTTTTACAGCATCATGTACCACCCTAACTGGAACAGCATGCTCTCCAGTTACTCGAGAAAGAGCTTTCAGAAGGAAGAGAGGGTGCCTGCCAGTCGCTCCTCCTTTGTGGTTGAACACCTAACACCACTAACCACGTACATCGTGTGCGTGACCTGTCAGTCCGCAAACCCCTCCAGTGACCAGTGCCGAGTTTTTAACACACTGGAACAAGACCCAGCATCTGCAAGCAACACCAAGAAAGAGCTGGCACTGGGCATCTGGCTCGTCAGCAGCGTCCTGCTCCTCATCATCGCCGCAATCCTCCTCTACGGCTGCCTGCATCTCCTGTGCCGCAGGAGACGCGAGCGTTTGCAAGGGCAAAACGGGACCTCCAAACAAGATGATGGGAAGGTGTGGACCAAAAGCGTGGCATACACCTCAGAGGAGCTTGGCAGGCAGAGCCAATTGATGCAGGACACTGAGGAAAAGCATCCAGGTGGCATCCAGCTGGCCACAATCATAGAGAATCCCTCAGCCTGCAAGGAGCCCGTCACGCCGACTTCCAAAAGCAGGGAACGAGTGCCAATGACAGGACAGTGCTCTGCTATAAATTAGAAACCTTTTGTCAGGGAGGAGATTTTTACAACATATGACATCCCAACTGCTTCAAACACATCATGTGCATTGTCAGTCCTCACAACAGGGAGCTCCGAGTGCTCACTGCCGCGCTCCTGGCTGTACCTCTGGTGTCACGTCCCTTTCCAACAGCCCATGCCCAGCCAGAGGTACTCAGAGGCAAAGGTTCAGATTCCCAAGAAGTAAGCACTTCAGCCACACTCCATTATTTAAAAATGAAGCATATAGCAAATAATCAGTTTACATTTTGAGGAGATTTTTTTTTTGGTTGCTTTTCTTTAGTCTCAAACAGCAAACAGATACAGAAATGAATCAAAAGTGACCAAGAGACTTTTTTTTTCACTAGCATAAATAAAACTGAGTAGAAGTTTTCAGATGGCAACCCAGACTGCTGCACTACAGGCAACTAGAATGCACACCCCACGTACGGTGGTTTGCCAGTGTGAGTTTTAACCCTACAATCCCGACTGCTTCTCAAACTACAAACTACTACGCTCCGACTATGCACTTCGCCGAGCATGGTGCACTCCACCGCTCCTATCTGAATGAGGTCAGTCTTAGCACATAAGCTAAATTCACCAGGATTTTAATGGTATCCTTTCATCTGTCTTTGAAATTTCCCCGTCGGTCTGGAAACATACACAAGACGGTGACTATGTAAGGACACTTCTAAGGAAACTAAGGAAATATCCTGGGTTATTGTATTTTGCACTCTTGTGCACCCACCGCAAGCCACCTTCTGCTCCACGGGTGAGTGACTCCTCGTAGAAGAAACCGAGTTTGGACAAGCAATTCCTGGTCCTTCCTTCTCTCTTTTTCCCTTTCAGTTTTAATGATAAAACTCATTCACCAATTGCAAATTTCTATCCAACCATACCGTACGTTTTGTGTAACGAAGGGGCAAGGAAGTTAAAAACATGCTAAAACACATTTTGTAACAAGAAAATCTGCCGATCATCTCACTCTGCCTTGAGCTTCATGGCAAAGTGCCAAGAAAGGCCCTTCGGACAGAAATCTCTTCACCCTCACAACATGACAAGTCTTGTCTGGCTGACATGTATAAGTCACCCTGTTTTAAATCTCTTAAGTGCATTTGTGTTCCATAAAAAAAAAAATAAATCTTAGTATTGCTGTATAGTATGGTATGTCTAAAAAACCAAGGTACACTGTGACTGCAGGTACTTTAAACTGCTATTGATATGAATGTATGCATAAAGTCAGCTCTTGGTGATGCAGCTCGGTGGTAGCAGTAAAGGCTGGAGAACTGGTGGCTGGGCAGTGGCCATCCCGTTCCACCGCGCCCGGGAAGCCGAGGGGGTGTACAATTTTGGCAAGAGAGCACCCGCCAAATATCTCACAGCAGGCAGCGGGTCTTCTCAGCTACTGTGTTTTGACAACATTTCCCACAACTTGTGAAAGACATCGACTCTCATGTTGCTAGGAAGTCACAAGCTGGCATAAGTTTGATGCATCCTTACTGTTTTTCTACTAGGATAGGTACGACACACAGAAACACGTGCTGAATGGGGGCAAGTATTACTTTTAGAAAACACTTCAAAAGGCGTCTTTATTGTGTTAGGTTAGCAATAACGTGTTCTCCACTCCCTGCATAGCATTTCCTCCAGCTGACACATGTTTTCCTTTGTCTTACACATCAGTCTTAAATAAACTGTGAAGATGACAACGGTTTACTGCTGTTTCAAATGAAGGTGTTTCATGAAACAGACACTGAAAAACTCTCTTCAGAGCCTGCAGCCAACACTACAGGTTTACTGCCAAAAAGGGGTGGTTGGGTAGCGGGGACAGAACACAATGCTTTAAAATGATCTTGTAATCAAATTAATGGTAACACTTCTCTGACTAGGATTTCAACAAAGAGAGAAAAGATGATTTTAATGTTAAAGGATTGGAGCCAAGAGATGTATATTCTCATCTCTGCCAACATCTTGGGCCCTTGAAATCTTGCTTACTTCTCTGTATCTCTGTTTCTTTCTGTGGGTTTTAAGGCAGTCCAATACATATATTTACATTTATATTATACACACATGTATATACCATATTGAGACCAAGGAGCAGTTCAGTCTTAAAGCAGTTTTGGGGCAATTCACCTACTGAATTTTGTTATTTATGCACAAACACACATATACAAAAAGACACATGTATATATCAGACCGAGATGGCAAGGAGCTACCATGAAAGTGCTCCCAGGAATCGGATTTACCTCATCTAAATATAAAACCATTCCACCCAAGGAGTTTACTGTGCATTACTTAGAAAAACATTTATATCATCTCGCAAGCAATGGACCATCTCTCACCCGCTGCAAATGAACAATGCATAAGGAGTGTCCTCTGACTTCTGCACTAGTTTTGAAGAACTCATGTCATCATACACTCACAGAGCTACACGATTCTTTGTCTCTTGCTCAGAAAGTTTTATTACATATTCATTCAGGTTCATTCTGGCAATTCTGTGTTTAAGTAGTTCATTGTCCAGTTTTAACAGGGATCTAGTAAGGGGCAAGCATTCAAAGTGATTACTAAACTGCTAACAAGGTGAAACATAGTGCAAACTGATGTTAATTTGTGCACCAGCAGTAGCTAAAACCCATTATATTCACATTGAGAAGTATTTTCCAAAGGGGTCTCTGAGTTAGCATCTACAAAATGCAGAAGACATACAGACATGAAATCTTTGGAAAAATGTTGTATAACCCAGAAAGGAAGCTCTTAAATTCTGGTCTACACAACATTTATAAAACTCCATTAAAGTGCAAGGTTGGTTTCAAATCCCCCGAAAAGACTCTTTCTTGTATGTACATTATGAAGTATCCAGCCCATGTTGCCAAATTTCAGTCTACTAACATTCGTTTCATTATTCCTACACACGCTTCACCGGAGTAAAGGGATTTCAACGACCACGCTCAATGAGCTTTTAAAATACTCCAGCTCACTTAAAAGGCTGACGAGCTTTTGCAGGTTGGCTCCTTCCCACCTGGCAGTTCTGCTCCCACGTCAGCCAGGAGAAGTAAGTTGTATCTGTGGGTTTCTGTTTGTTAATTGGATGAAGATACCGCTCAGAAAACTTCAGATGCAACAGAGAATGTGGATACAACTGTCTATGCTAAGCATCAATATACATTAATACAGACCAAATGCTTTGATGCATTTGGAAATATCTGAGAATATGTGAACGCTTTGAGATCAAAACTAAAAATTCCTTTAATTACTCTTAAGCAAGCACATTGTTTGTGCAAAGCTTCTGCATAGGAAGTGTTTAGCCATTGCAGTCCAATATGTGCATGTATGAGTGTACATACGCACAAGAAACCACAGTGCTCTTGTCTTGACCTAAATAAACATCATACATTGCTAAAAAAAAAAAAAAAAAAACCACCAAAAAACCCAAAAACCTCAAAACCAACCAACAGCAAAGTCCAATAAGGAAAATAGAGAGTCATACTCCTTGGCTATATGATCACCACAAAGTGCTCACCTGAATAACTTGAGTCGTTCAACAACTCAAAAAGGACAAGAAAATTAAAAATACATAGCTACTCCATACCCTACTGTTATCCAGTCAAGAGGCAATTCAACAATATAACCATTAAAGGACCCAAACAAGGATGTGCTCTATAACTAAGCCTGGCTGTATAGTATACATCATGCAATTATATCACACGCTAGAATGTGTAGCCTCTATCACGTAAGAATTACTGTTACTTGCTATATACCATAGAAATGTCCTCCCAAAATTCCATTCAGACATCCTCAATTCCAAAATACATTCGATTCAAGAATAAAGACATATTCTTGCAAAAATTTAAAACTACAGAGAGTCAGGAATATTTGCTAATATAGGTGTATCTAGTTACGAAACTTTCTCCAGAAATGCATCTAAGAACCCCCTTGATTGCTCCTGTATAGAAAAATAATCAGATTTCTGAAAACGTATAGCTCTCAAAGTAAAGATTACTAAACTCATTTTAATAATGTAACCTGACTGATAAACAAAGGGCTCCCCAGTTAATCCTCTGTCACTCACCCCACTGTACCATCACTTAGATAAATTAAGCTAGCAATCTCTACTAAATTCAGTGCGGTTTTTGCTCTTTACACTGCATCTGGTGAATTCCTAAAATAGTAACGAACACAACCACCCTAATGTAAGAAAATCCCACTTTCCTATAATTTACTGTTCCCCGTTGGAGAACAATTATATAAAACGCTATTCACAGTACCAGACAATCAGCTGTTACATTCCACATTAAAGATGTGTGAATCATTTTCTACCTCCTTTACATTTTATAAGCATTAAAGTTTTACAAATGCAGCAGGTATATTAGGACTGAAATTTGTAAATTCTGAGTTATCTCTTCAGCTCTCAAAAACTAGCTTGCTGGGCACATCACTTCAGAGATTGCACCGTATAACTAGGATATGATGTACAGAAAATAACAGTAAGAAAAGTACACAGAATAATATAATTCAGATATTCGATAATATCAGAATAATATCATAAGTAGGAGCTAGACAACGGAAAGTAGCTAGACACAAAAATGACACCTACCAGCGCACTTGTATAAATTACGAGGATAATTGAGTACATAATTTTAAAACTTTTTTTTAGTCAACAATCCTCTAATTTGATCCTTATATTTTTATCAATCTTTTCCATACTTTCATTTTGCCTTCCTGATACTCAAGAAAAAAATGCAAAATTAAGAGTGATATCTTGTTAAATACTCTCAAATTACTTGTTGAAGATACCATGCTGATTTTTACTGCTGTTGGAAGTAGATCAAATATTTCTGAATGGATATTAACAATACAGATATATGTTAATGTGCTATGCTTTAACTGTCGGTAAGACTCAGGTAATAATTCTGAAGCATAAGAAAATAAATCTGCAGCAATCAGGGAGAATAAATCTATCCCTCCAACACACAACACTGCACACATGACCATAGCATTGCTCCT